GGAGCTAATGGTACCTTGGGCTGCTTTGATTTTAGATTCATATTCTTATCGATAAACTTTTCCGGATAACCGTTTTCACTCAGAAACCGTTTACTATTATTAAGTTCCTCATCAAGACATCCATCTGAGCAAATTGCTCTTGCTCAGTGAACCAGGCACTTAATCAGATTGTGTTTGTATTTCAAGGGCACGAAGCTGAGAAAATGAGTATACTAAGCCGTTGATGTAGGTTTTCTATACACTATTCTTCTTATTGTCCCATCCTCTTTTCTGGTCATAAGAACGTCTAGAAATGAAATACTAGAGTCTTTTTCTTTCTCAATAGTAAAATTTATTGCAGGATGTACCTCATTAAATTTATCCCGGCTGTTCTTTGCTTCCTTCTCATTTTTCATAATCAAAAATGCATCATCCATGTACTGACAATAGAATTCAAGTTCATTAATAACATCCTTCAAAAGCCCATTTTCTAGTTTTGCAAGGAAAATGTCGATTAGAATGGGTCCTAGTGGTGACCCCATTGCCACACCGTCGATTTGTCTACATAGTTCCTTATTAAATAAAAAGTGAACATTCATTGCACATTTCAAAAGAAGCTCTTTCATAAAAGATATAGGAATGCCAACATCGATTTTTCGTCTTTTGAATTCTTCGCATACAAAGTCCACTGTTTCCATAAGTGGTACATCGGGGAATGAGGAAGATACGTCAAATGATATCATGAATTTATTGTCAACATTTAAATCTTTTATCCTTTCAACAAATCCAAAAGTATTCTTTGCACTGTGTTTCACCGACTCGGTATGAAGAGGCTGTAAGAGTTCGACTAACCATTTGGCTACTAGATGGTATGGGGAATTTAACATATCTAATACTGGTCGAAGCGGTATACTATTTTTGTGCACTTTAGACGAGCCATATAGTCTTGGTGTGAACGTTCCAGTGGGTTTAAGTGATGTGAGATAAACCCTTGTTGTTTCAGTCTTCTCGATGTTTCCGCTAACTATTTCTCTATTTTTTCAATCGGATCCAGAGAAGAGGAGATTTTTTGGAATTTTAGATTATCATTAAGAATAGTATTCATCTTCTCAAAGTAATCCGCTTTGTTCATGATAACCATTCCTCAGCCTTTATCCGGTCTTGTTATTATTATGTTATCATTTTTACGGAGAACATCCAGAGCTTCTCTATGTTTCTGGTCAAAATACTATCTAAATTGCGTTTACTATTCATGTAATAACAGCAACAATCGACCAGTGTTGATTTAAGTCTTTCAACATCCTCAGTTGATGAGGGTGTTAGATCTTCAATTTGAGTGTAAAGACTTTCGAACTGAATTTTCGCATCCATTTTGTTAATGTCATGAAAGTTGTATAACTTTCCAGATTTTCAGCAAGAGAACAGTTGAAAAACCAGCATGGAATACTGACCAGCTATTTGTTTCGTACTATTTTAGCACTCTACAACAGTGCTCATCCTCCGGGGATCAGACTGAGGACCTTCTGGTTACAAGGCAAAGTTGTAGACTATCCAGCCACTGGGATTTGATCCAATGTTTCGTCCTTATTCAGGATTCTATTCGGCACAACATACCCATGTCCCTATCAGGGATCGAACCCAAGGCTTAGATTTACCACTTGTCCCTTGATGGTTAGTAGTGGAATCCAAGATACACGTTTTATCCTATTCGCAGGAACTCTTCAGCTGAACCATCAGCACCCTAGTGAGAAATGGTTTTCCCACCAACTGATGAGTTTTAAACTGGGACGGAACCTTACAGTCTAGATTTCACTACTAGCCTATGTTGAACAAATTACTCTAATGTCTAATTCAGTTAATTCCACTTAAAACAATTTAATTTCAGTTTAATTGGCCAAAAGATTATTTCATAATAAATCACCTAGAAGGATTACCTGAGATTTTTAAAACAAAATTCATTTTTACTCCCACCATTTCGCTGAGTAGACGATTTAAATCTTCCTTGTCATTAAATCTTTTTCTAAGAAAGATGAACGTGTGCCATTATTCACATATTAATCACCATAGTAACGAATTTGAAATCTTTTAGTGATTATTTATTTACACGGGATATTGTTGAATAATGATGAATTTAAGTGTGTGTGTGTGTGCACGCTTGCGCTCTTTTGTTTGTACATGTACAAATGTTTCTGTGTTTGAATACATATGTAGATATTAAACAGGAGATAGATGTTATTGCTTTGATTTATTGTAGTGAATTGTTTAAATTAGCCAAGTTAATTTAGTTTCCATTTAACACTGAACAGCGGAATATTCAACTGTGTATAGATTTTTATCTATTCGATAATAAACTATTATTTTCTGTCATTGTCGTACAATATAAAACAAAATGCTTATTATAAGATAATATTTTATAATATTTAATGAGATATCATCTAGAAGATATTAAATCTTAGTTATCTAACGGATATAAATTTGATTAATGTTAGCCAGTGATAGTGAAATCCAGACGAGCATTAATGAAATAACATCAAGTTCATTTAAGGATGCGATGACTCTAAACTATAGCAGCCCAAACAGAAACTACCTACCTAGCGAGCGGATAAATGACCTTGAGCAATCAATCAGGTGACTCCATATTATACATATGTACTTATGAATGCCGTACACCTTTTGTTTGCAGAACAAACTGATAGGAAGGTCAAAAAAGTGTGAATTTGGATGTGTCATGTATTTGCAGAATATACTAGGTGCATTGATGGATTTGTTTACTGGTGCGATGACTGCCGAACCAGAAAGTCAGTTGGAGAAGGTATACCGTTCCTTTTTAGTTTACAGATTCCGTGGGTACTTTTTTCGCCAAGTTTAAGTTACCTCTAACAAAAATTTTAATGATGTGTCATAATTGGGCGCTTAAAAGACCGGTAGCAGCAACAGCGTGTAAATCAAAAAATTCAAAAGTGTCTGCAGTGCAATGGTACCAGTACTGCAGAGACATAACATCATGGAAAATGAACAGACTGACTCAAGTACTTGACGGCGTTGGCGTCATTGTTCATGTGGATGAGATAGTGCTTATAAAAACAAAATGTAGTCGAGTTAGATTGAATACGAATCAGCAGTGGATGTTGGGGATATATGACACCACCCCCCACAAAGGATACACTGAGGTAATCCCTAATCACAATGCAAATGTCTTATTGCTTACTGTCCAACGCTTAGTGATGCCTGGAACAACTATTCATACAGATGAATGGAGTAGTTATAGTCAGCAATCAATCCTCCGCTATATTCATCACGTCGTCAATCATACGGATGTTTTCATCAGTCCTTTCTATGGAACTCACACTAATTCCATCAAAAAGTTTCGGAGTCACCTCAAAAAATAGATCATATCTGTGAATGGATCAAGAAATTCAATGATATACATTTATCTCGATGATTTTATATACAGGGCTTGGTTTAACATAACTACGAAGACGCCTATGAGAAATTGGGAGGTCTTTTTGTAACATATACAAGAACGTTATCCCTTGTAACTATTTTTTAACATTGCATTACTCTTATATAAACGTTTTATTCAAATTATGTGCTGTTTTTATAGAGGCGTCTGATTGGTCAAAGTTGTCGTTGTCAAGGTCATTTATCCGTTCGCTAGATAGTTTCAGTTCGGGCTGCTACAGTTTGGAGTCACCAAGGGTGCTACTGATGCAACCGTAGTTAGGAGGTTAGATCACCAACATGAGACCGAGTATTTCAATTCTTTGAAATCTTTTAGTGATCAAAAGAAGTCTACATTACAAATTCAGCAGTAGCACTTAAGATGCTTTCATCGTACTCCACCACAGTATGGTTTCAAGTATTGATAAAGGCAATAAATGACTTTGAAAGTCTCCTTATTTACATCGGTTTTGTGTTCTATATCCACGAGATGACATAGAATAGAACAATGAATGGATTTTGTTTCTCGCTAACTTAACCACTTTGCAGGATGGTGTTCGGAAATCCGACGATAAACACGCCTAACTGTATTGCCTATGCAACTAACTGACTCACTGCACAGGAGTAGTCAAATTGAAACTAAGTTAATAGGAGAAATTATATGCGTTATAGTGATGGAGATTTTCGGTAGCTTAAGTTTTAAGCAGGACGCCGTTTTCAAGATGCTTTCCAGGAAGGATTATGAGAATCACACAGTCGAACCGCTCGATTCATAGGCGCCAGTTATTCCTTATTGTTATTTAAATACGAAATTAATCAATAAAAGTATGTAGCACGTAACAATGTCTTCTTATTCAATGTTTAAAAACACCAAATTGCTTTTAATGCTTTCTTAAATCCCTTTTTGTTGACTTGTATCTAAGATCAAGAAAAACTAATTTTGATTTGCTGGTTTTGGTGTTGGTTTGCGGGGATTTGACTATAGGACTTGGTTACAGAATTTCATCATGAGGTGACATGGGTTAGAGAGCCACTGGAAAGCCTGGGAGTACTGGATTTCGATCTATGGGCTCACTAGCCTTGAGACCGGAAGGTCCTGGGTTGGAACCCTGGCGGTGAGTGCACACTGATGAAGAATCCCCAAAACCAGGAGGAAACAGTTGTCCAATACTCCATACTGGTTTTCCAATGGTTCTGTAACCGATGTCAGCTCATGATGAAATGACTTTGATCTTTTTTAGATTGATTTTATCTTCCCCATTGATTGGTTTTCATACTGAACTGAAATTTTCAGTCTCTGCGTTGACATGTCAGTTTTTAGCCTTCGATGATGCTTCGATGATGCCTGAGAATCAATATGACGTTACGTGGTGAATGGTGACTAGGAGTAGATTTCAGGATGCTCAGCTCCGCCTGTTTGGGATTCGTCATACAGGTGTATCTGCAGTCTCCAGACAGTGATGATGGCGTTCTAAATGAGACTCGAATGGTGGGTGCTGGATTCCACTGCCATTCACTTCACATTTTAACTATGAAATGCTCTCAAATTTTTTTCTCTCTTAATTTATTTTGTATTTCAGCTGTTCAACGGGCTCGAGCAAGCTCACAGACACATCTGTGTCCATCGACGCCATATTCAACAAATTCTGTGATAGCAGCTGCTGCAGTCGCTGCAGCTTATTTCCATGGCAATGGAAGTACTGTCGATAGCTTTCCAACAGGTTTTATTCCAGCACAGACAACACCACTCCTGCAGAATAGTTACACCACAATTCAAAGTTCTCAGAGAAATCCTGTATTGACATCAAGAAGCCAGTATCTTAGCCAATCTAAATATATTACATCAAATCCTGTCAACCATTTTGGTAATCAGTTACCAGAGATGCGTTATAATCCATATGGAGGTGTAATGAACTCACAATTTGCTCATCCGAACACTCAATACACGCCTAATGTTCCACAGCTGATAGAAAGCAGAGTAATCACAAATTTCGACAAGAATTCGTTATACACTCCGTATACACAACAGTATGACTGTTCACCTAAAGTTAGGTATATAAATTCAAGTTCCAATGAAGTCTACTATCATCTGCCGAGTCAAAGCGCCCAACAGTTATATTATTCCACGTCACTGACGCCGACAGTTACACTTTCATCATCAGCGATATCAACGACTTCTCCAATTTCTACAGTAAATTTCAATAAAATTCTATCATCACATAAAAGTACAGAGTTTATTCATCAATTCAACGATAGAACTCAATTACAAACAAACCAATCAAATATTTATACAGCGGGAAACAACAATACTGTGCCTGATATGAACACTAGTGGTCAACCGGACTCTTCATCATTCTCTCCATCTCCGTCATCAGTGTATCATCCACAAGAGATGATTATAGATTTACAGAAAACAATTGAAGAATGGATTATGTCAAAAGAGTACACGATTAGTCCAATTTATTTAGGGCACAGCTATCATATCGAAGCTGTTATATCCTCAGCTAATCAATTGTTAAACAGAATTTCATACATACTAAACAAACTTCAGTCATTTAAACATGCCTCCCAACATAACAGCCATACTACCATGATGCCTCATTTAAACGATTTAAACAAAATACAATATGATATTGAATATACATGGATAAATGAATCGCTGCTACTGTTGTTATCATCACAATCAGAATTTACTGATTTACAAGATAATGATACCGCATCAATGCATCATTTGACAGGTATGATGAATTCAACACCGGATACAACACAGACAATAATTTGTGAATTATCAGAAAAAGAACGTGAATTATTGATTATACAATCATTGCCAACACTGGTCATTATTCATATTTATCAGGTGAGTTGAGTGAATCATAGAGAAAGCATGAATTTTCATTGATTGGTCACTAGGGCTGGGGATGGGGGTGATAATCAGTGTCATATGTCTAGTCTTTATTAGTCTTGGTGCTGACTGAATCCTCTCAGTCCGGCTTATAAGGTGATCACCAAGTTAAGTGCATTCTCTAAGGGAGTTTAGGTGGTTGGTTAGATGGTAGATTTCGTACCTGCTGGCACTCGTCAGTACGGCGTATCTGAAGTCTAGATGGGAGCAATATCAGCAATGAGAGATTTAGTTTCGCAGATACGTTGCCCCCGAGCTGTTCTGACTCAATGGCTGAACTCGTGTAGGACCATAACGGATTCAGAAGGGGATAGTGGTTCTTTCGTGACTACAAACAAATACGCCTTGTTAATAAGTGCCAACAAGCACAAAACTTACGGTCACATGAAACATGGGAACACAGAAGTGGTAAACGTCGTCAACTAAACTGTTAGTCTAAACAGATCGTGTAGTTTCCCATTTTCTGTATATACACGAAATATCTATACTTTTGGTATGTATTCATAAGATTTAAATAGACGTATGAGTGTTCAGTTAGCGTCATTCCTTGAGTTCCAAGTGGAACACAGGGTTTCAAGTCAGTCATCAATTCGATCAAGTAGCTAGTCAGATTGATACAAGAATAAAACTTGTGCACTGTGGTACCGGAGTATAATTCCATTATGGGTAAATTTTGTTTTGATAAAGTCTCAGTGTTATACAGTAATGTTTACTGATAACGTTTCGAGCACAATTTATTGTCACTCATAATCATATCAAGGTAATCACACGACTTCCTAAATTCATTTATATAGTTCCATTGTTTTTCACTTGATTTGACTGGTAGTAATATTTTCCATGTTTCCAAGGCAAAATATATAGACAAACTGAAGGTGTAGCAATGGGATGGATCACCAATATCCCCTATCGTAGCAGATATATTTATGGATAACTGGGAAAATATGGCTCTTAATACGTTTAATCCTACTCCAAAAATACGGTGGAGATGGATGGATGACACTTTCACACACAGTGTTAAAAACAGAACATATATCTAGCTTCTTGACACACATAAATAAACTCACTAGTTAAGGGAATAAAATTCACATTTGAAGGCGAAAATGAGCAAGGAGAATTAGCTATGTTAGATTGTAAAATAAAACGAATAGAAGAAGGTAAACTACAGACTAGTGTTTATAGAAAACCAATGCATCCTAATAGATATTTAGACTTAAATTCATCTCATCCTTTAACTGTTAAGGCAGGCTTAGTTAAGTGTTTAACAAACCGAGCAATAGCACTAAGTAGTACAAGAAAAGACCTAAATGATGAAATAAAACAGATAGAAGAGGCGTTGGTGTTAAATAACTATCCTTTAAAATTCATTAGGAAGATTGAAAAACGCCAAAAGAAAAATAAAAAGAATTGTGAAACTAGTAATAATAACATAAATAAGAGAGAATATAAGTCATCTACAGTTATACCATATAAAGAGGGGACATCTGAGACCCTACGTAGGATTCTAAATAAAGCAGGAATTAGGGTGGCATTTAAACCTACAAGCTCATTCAGGTAGGACAAGCTCTATAGGTTAAAGGACTCAGTGGGTCGACCCAGTTAGACAAAATAATATAATTTACAAAATTACCTGCAATGACTGTGAGGTCAACTACATAGGTCAAACTAGTAGATCGGGGGTTATCAGACTGTCGGAACATAAGAATTTAGCTAAGGTAAGAATGATGGACCTCGCGAAGATAAGTAATTTAGAAAAAAGCTCAGCAATTGCACTGCATGCATTAACACACAACCACACAATAGGGTGGGAGAGCGTTAAAATTCTAAAAAGTAATCTAGGTAGGTGGAGAGAGAGGTTGATTACTGAATCCTTGTTCATCGAATGAATCTAGAACCAACACGTGCAATAGGAATGATTCATCACTCATACCCGAAATATGGAAAATATTACTACCAATCAAATCAAGTGAAAATCAAGTGAAAAACAGCGGAACTATATAAATGAATTTAGGAAGTCGTGTGATTACCTTGATATGATTATGAGCAGTAATAAATTGTGCTCGAAACGTAATCAGTAAATATTACTGTATAACACTGTAAGACTTAATCAAAACTGAATTTATCCATAATAGCTAGTCAGATATCGGATGTTCTGAGCTGATTCGACTCCCGCCCTCTGAGCTGAGTCAAACCGTTTACGCTCACCGCCAATGAGTTCGACCTCAAACCAACGAAACGACAGTCCGGCGTCTAGATCACTTCGATATGGCTGCCTGGTTAGCCTGGTTAGCACTTCTGTTTGAGTAGTGAGTAGTGGTATACAGCTACCCAACTCAATCGATTAGCAGTATATAGTTTTATGCAAACACGGCTGAAAGCTTCGACGTTTCAGTCACGTCGGTGTTGCTGTTTCTACCAGGTGAGGTTTCTAGCCTCATAACCCACCTTCCTTCTTCTTCTGGACTTGTTATTGGCTAGTGAACTAGACAAAGTTTAGGAGTACGTCGGCGGGGAATAGAATACAGGTAACCTAAATGGTTAGTTGATATTCTATTACTGAGCCACCACTCGTGATATCTGGTGTCCAATATACGGGGGGGCGGTGTGATAGAATACAGACAGGTATAAATGTTCAAGTGCCAAAATTACTGACAGTGATGGCAGTAAGTAACCAGTATCATGAGTCTACTCCTTGATGTTGGCGGAAACCGAATTTTATCAGCCATGGTTGTGATGTCGTCACACCATGCTACGTGGCTCGCCATCATAGTGTACGCTGGATTTTCGCTATTAAATAATTCGAGGCAATCGGCACGAAGCTCCGGCTGACCTAGGTTTCGTGCTTGTTGGCACTCACCAGTCAGTCAGCTAAACGTATCTACAACCCTGAAGGAACTCATGTCTCTTCTAAGAGTCAAATCCTTCTCACCACCCAGTGTTGCAGTCAGAGATGTTACCATGTTGCCACTGCCATGAAGCACGAAACCTAGGTCAGACAGGACTTCCTGGTGACTGTCTCCGACTATCCAGTAATAGTAACCTTACAGTGAACTTCGAAATCGTATTCTGCTTCTTTTTCTTAGTTTCATTTTTTTCATTCCTTTACGTTCCCAGTGAAACATAGGCCACCTTCAAACTAGAGGCCTGAAGTTTCGGTACCATTAGTGTTTGTTTTTACCGGATGGGGTTGCTAACCTGCGTCATGCCCAACCTTCCCTCTTTATCAGTCTCATTACTGGTTTAGCGAGGTATTGGAGGAGTGTGTCGGTGGCCGGGGATCGAACCCTGAACCACATGAGGCGTGGTTGGCAAGCATTCTACCACTGTGCCACCGATGCACATTCGTTTCATACTTTCACAAATTTTCCCACTTCTTTTATTGACTACCTTATTTATAGCTCCTCTATTCATAAATTTTGCAGAATGCATCATTCAAAAATTATTGTGCGTAGCTCACATGATCTCTTAACTCCAGTTTTGATTACTTTGAAACAGTCATTTACAGATGGCATCTGTTACTTTAGATAAGTCTTTTGTAATCATTATTTCCATTCGGAATTAGTGGTAATGAGAAATCCTGGGAGTACTGGACAGCTGTTTCGTCCAAGTTTGTGACTCTTCATCAGTACGTGCCCACCGGGATTCGAACCCAGTCCTCCTGGTTACAAGGCGAGCTCGTATACCATTAAGCTTCTGGGACCCGATCCAACGGCCCATGAATTCTAACTTCTGGCAATTCACGATATAGCGCGAACACTAGCCAATGTCTCCTTTGATGAGTTACTGCCTCATCTTCAACCTGCTGTACCCTACTAGTTGTAAATTGGCAGAAGTTAGAATTCATGGGCCATTGGATCGGGCCGGGTCCCAGTGGCTCAATGATCTACGAGGTCGCCTGGTAACCAGAAGGTCCTGGGTTCGAACTGTGGCGGTGGGTGAGTACTGATGAAGAGTCCCAAACTAGGACGAAACAGCTGTCCAGTACTCCCAAGTTTTCCAATGGTTCTCTAACTGATGTCAGTTCAAGATGACAATTTTATTACTTTATGTTCCGAGTGGAACATAAAACTCCTAGCTAGTGGCTTGAAATCTCGGTAGCAATGGTTTTATTTCTAAGGTGAAGGGTTGCTAGCCTCACTTAGCCAAAACTTCCCTCTTTATCGGCCTTGCTACCGGCTTACCAAGCGCGTTTTAGTAGTGCGTTGGCCTAGGATCGAACCGCGGACCACGAAGGATGTGGTCGGTGAGTGTCTCACCACTGAACCACAGATGTACAAAGCACCACTTGTAGTACACTATCTCACTTGGAATAAAGACTCTGAAATAATTCATTCTAACAACATCTCACTGTTTGGATTGAATTCCCCGAACATGTCTTTCATACTCCAGGCTACAGGCCCCACTTATTGTGTTTGTGTGTTTGGGAGGGGGTTGATGATACTACTCACATGCTCAGACTGAAATAGATGGAGCAGGATTCGAACTCAGGGTTCTGACGGCACAGTTTCACACCAACTATTACCTGAATTATAACAACAATAAGAAGAACAATAATAAGTCACCTATATCGATACATCCTGTCGATTGCCAACACACACACACTCAAAATAACGCCTTTCTATGATAGATGGTCTTCACTGATCGCGAAAACTAACAAAAACTCTTTAATTCACTTCGGACTTTCCCATTGATTGATTGGATCAAAATGCTCGGCCTCAGGGTGACATGTCGGCTCCTTATGAAGATGCTGCAACGATATCCGATTATTGACTTGAAGTAAATTGGTGGATGGTGACTAACGGTGGAATCCAGGATGTGGACTTCGGTCCAATCAGCCAATGGGAGAGTCGAAATTGAATGAAATAATTACTGATAACCATTGCACAAAACGTGGCTGTCGTGGCCCAAGTGATGGTCTTGTAGATAACGCTTTGGTGTTTGAAACTATGGGTACACTGGGCTATAGCCTCAATGGGGACACCACCACCCACTGGCTGACGAGTCCCAAATGAGACGAAATACGCATCCTAGATTTCTCTACTGCTAATCACCATCCATCAATAATAAAAACTGCTTTTAGGATTTGAAATTAAAATATGTCGTTTTGTAAGCAAAAAGGAAAAGCAAAGAAACAAAACAATTTTAAACTCATGCCAAATACAAATACATTTCGCGTGCGATCGTGTAGACAGTTACGCATAATGGCGCGTGTGCAGTACGCACATACACACACACGCGTTTGTTTGTTTGTTTGTATATTTCGCCTATTTATTTTGTTGCTGTTGTTGTGTTAAATGTTTATTATGAGGACAACTAACTAAATAACTAGCTAACTAGATTGCAATGGTCCAGTTTATCTTCATTTTGATAAATAATAGTTGGCACAGGAGACAAACACCCATCCATCCGCACATACACACGCACACACAGAGGGAGAATCTTTGCATGATTAGTTATCTTAAACTAAAGTTTACTCACTAAAGTCAACAATCAAGTATCTATGCGGTCATCAAATTTACCAACAATAAAATATTTTTTATGAAATATACAATGATAAACATTTGTTGATTGATGGAACTTAATTAATTCTGATTATATAGTGTACAGATTGATTAGAGACTGTCAAAAACTAGCGAAGTTAGGAAAAGCAAGACATCCCGTGTGTGCGTAATGATGAAGAGATCCAAACCAGGACGAAACAGTTAGCTGTCCAGTACTCTAACCGATATCAGCTCTCTTGATGAAATCTTGCAACTAATCAAATCAAATCCCTGCGAACCAACACTTCAATGAATATCAATTTGATGCCCTTATCATCAATGGTAATCAAGATAGCAAGAATATGGCGAGTGTAATATTGGCTGGTGCCAGTCGCGCCAGAAAATAATCACAAATTAGTAGAAGTTGGAATTCATGAGTGCCAGTGGCTATGAATGGTCTACGTGTCCGTTTTGTAACCGAGAATCTCGTATTCAAACCCTGGAAGTAGGTGCATACTGGCCATAGGTTCCAAACTAGGTTGAAGAAACAGCTGTCCAGTACTCCCTACTGGTTAGCCAATGGTTCTTTAACTGATCTCAACTCATCATCATTACTGTGACCACCAATCAAATCCATGCAATCATACCCCTTGATTTAGTACTCATTAAAAATCAATAGCAACTGGAGCTATTCAGGTAGGCAGTTATCTAGGTTCTAGTGGGAAATCATGACCAGTGGGTACAGCAGGTTGGGTGTGAGGATAAACACTCGCCACCGATGATATATTGGCTAGTGCCAGTTGCGCTAAATCGTGAATTGGCAAAAGTTGGAATTCATGGGTTGGCCATTGGATCAGGTTCCAATGGCTTAATGGTCTAGGGGCTTATCTTGTAAACGAAAGTTCCTGAGTTCGAACCATAATAATAATAATAATAACAGTGAGTTTGTTTCAAACAGTATTGTCGATTCAGTTTGGAAACTTTAGCATGTTATAGATTATTGGATCTCATGTTCTGTTCATATAGTATAGTGAGGGGAAATACAAAATTAACAGTTATAACACAGCTTAAATTATGTCCACACTTATGAAAAAAAACAAAACAAAAAATTGAGAGGATTATAAATATATTCATATATATATATATATATATATATATATATTCATACACGTTACCACTGAGCTATTCGGACTTGCAATTAATCTCCTGTAGAACTGTAGTAGATACTTTAGTTGGACATTAGGTAGTCAGAAATATCACGCGAGATCCAATAAACTCAGTGGTAACATCTATGACTGCGGCACTCAAAACTGACATGAATTCCGACAAGATTAGAGACAGGTCCTGATGACTGACGAGTGCCAACTAGTACGAAACTTAAATCCAAGGCTTTTGCCGACTACCTCCGACCACCGAATAACAATAATTCAGAGTGCGGCCTATTGGCCAGTCACATTTGATGGTGTGGCCACATTGCAAACTCGACTGACAGAATTCCGTCTGCACCAACACATGACATTAGTTAGTATCTAGTATCCAATCAGAGAAGTATATCTTGTTTGTCTTTCAAGTGTTTAAAAGGTGTTTTTCACTCTGGAGTTACTGCTGATAACTTGAACTGCGATTTTTATCCGATAACGATTTCATTTAATATGCTTACCAATGTAAATGTGATGATATATCCAAGCTCTTTATGTATTAGGCCGCTAAATTTTATGATATCAGTTGACCTACTGACAAAATATGAGTAGTTGAAGACGATTAAGAACTATTTTAGTATGTTTGACTTTAGACCTGGGAATTTAAATAAGTGGATCTCCTATCCACTGGACTCTGTTTACACTGCATTGAATTTGTGCATGTTTATGTCAATAGTAATGAAATAACAATATTGGGGTTTATTAAACTGAAATATGTCTAGAAAGGCTAATCATAAGCTGTTGTCTTGCAACGGAAATGAAAAAGTGAGATTTTGGTCCTATTTGGGTTTCATTATCTGGAACCTACTTGCATCCTAGGAATTGATTAACTCGAAGTCAGTGCCCATCATCTTTTGATCGCGCATCCACTTCAAACACAACTTATTAACTGAGTATCCACTCGAAGTCTTTTGAATTTCACACTGGTCATATTTTACCGAACCGGCAAGTATTTGTCCTCACATCTGACTGGTGGATTCCATTAGTCATGACCTCTCAATGGGACTACAGGCAACTTCATCGTGTAGCTAGACAGTCACTAGCAAGCATCATATTAATTCTCAGGAGTTAGTTTGTGGGGATTTAATTTGCCTCAAGTTAGACCACGGGTCGATGTTAGTTAGAGAACCATTGAAAAGTAGTTGGGAGTACTGGATAGCTAGCTGTTTCGTCCCAGCTTGAGACTCCTCATCAGCAGGAATTCATAGGGTTTGAAACCCAGGACCTCTCGGTGGTCATAGTAAAATTATGAATTGGTACAAGTTGAAATTGATGTGCCATATGGCTGGGTCTCAGCGGCTGAATGGTCTGAGAGATTTATTTGTAGCTGGGAAGTCCTTACTTCGAACCCTGGCGACGAGTGCGTGCTGCTGATGAGTCCAACACTACATTCTGGCTTTCGATGGTTCTCTAATTTATGTCAACTCGCCACTACGTCTGCAAACAATCAAATGTCAGCTCTCAGTAAGGATCATTAGACGATGACTTGCTAAAATGAGGCTGATCAATTCTCACCCGGAATATAAAGGAGATATCACAAGTAACCATTATGAATGACTGACTAGCCAGCAGCATCAATTCGGTCGTGCGGGAGTTGAGTCGTGGGCCTCAACGACTCGGTGATAATCATTTTCTGGCTACAGCGCCTGACGAAAATAGGATTCAAATCTCCAAAGAGACATCCCTTCCTTCGAGGTTACAGATACGTCTTGCTGATAAGCGACAAAAACAAGCACGAAATCTAAGTCAAGCAGAGCTTCCCAACAAGAATAAAGCAATATCCAACATAGAAATAGATTCAAATATATGAATTCTAGTTCCTCTCCAATATGATTACATTTCCTTAATATGTGAGTGACATTCGTGAATCCACTCCGAAATAAAGCAAAGAAGTAGTTGTGACAACTATTCTGTCCTGGATTTTGTAGGGATCTTAGTTCATTCCACTGTAGATTTCACATCAAGAACTAGGTTCACCTAGGAAACCAAAGATCATGTGGATGATTGTTTCGTCCGAAAATGGGAGTCCTCAGTAGCCTGCATCAATGTTGCAGCTAATACCTTCAGGTTATAAGGTGAGTGCATGCCATATTCAGCCACCTAGATAGGACTCAATAATCGATGAATTCTAGTTCTGTCTTTTCGTGACAAGCAGCACTACAGCCAACCAAACAAATGTTACAAACTGTTCTCTTTAACCTATCTATATGGATTTATAAGCTTTTGTCACTGTATAATTATTCATTTCTTTAAAAGTATTGATTTTCTCTCACGTTTCTATTGATTTGTGTCTCATTTTCAAGTTTTTTTGTTTTGTTTTTGATTTCTTTCCGGCTATCATTCTCAAAAAAGATTCTAATCAACTGGACAAATAGTCAAGATAATGAAATTGTCAAAGAGATTGAATCAATCCTCTTCAATGTTAATCATTATAATAATTTTAAATATTATAAATATAATGAATCCTTTGCATATTATACAAGAAATCAATTAATCGATAATCAATCAATAAGTCAAGTGATGAATACACATTCTAGTGATGGACAGAATCATATTATCCATATAAATGATGGACACAGTCAACTCAATAACAGTAATAATAATAATTCAATAACTTATCGACTATTTACATTAGTAAATAATTTGAGAGGGAGTAACTTTGATACCTTTGAATTGGCATGTATGAAGACTTTAATTCTGCTAGATTCTGGTAAGACAATATGATTTATGCGATAATCAATACATTTTAAAGAAATACTTATAAACTTATTGATTTTGAGAAGGACTCAATCAATGGTGAAGGTCACCTTGTTGATAATAAGGATAAAACTTGGGCACTGTTGTGGTAGGGTATAATTCCATTATGGATAAAATTTATTTTGATAAAATCACACAGTGTGAGTAATACCTTGACATGGTGACGATGAGCAGTAATAAGTTGTGCTCGAAACGTGGTTATCATCAGTAAATATTTCTTATTGTATAACACCACTGTGACTGACTTTATCAAAATAAAATTTTATCCATAATGGAAAGTCACCTTGTATTATTATTATTATATTATTGTTTCCTTTAATTCCTATCGAAACATAGGGCTTCAGCTGCACGTCTCCATTGTGTCAATGAAGTTGAGATAGATAGCTGACTACCGTTCCAAGCTCTGTTCAATGATGATCCGTAGTGTTGCGATTTGATCGATGCATGACAACTTGTTCCTCCTGAATCCAGCCCGTTCCGGTCAAATTTTTTTCATACAGGTCAGCGTGTTCGATTCTCTACAGGATGATGCGGCTTAGTATTTTGCTTGGGATGGACAGGAACATAATGCCGCACCAGTTCTTGCATTGACTTAAGTCTGCTTTCTTTGGTAGTTTGAATAAGTAGCTTTTCTTCCAATCCTCGGGTACTTTGCTTTCTTTCCACACCTTCTCCAGTAGTGGCGTCATCAAGTCCGCTGATGTCTCTCGGTTCATTTTCAGTGCTTCTACTGGGATTCCGTCTGGTCTTGCTGCCCTTCCAGGTTTTAACAACTTGATTGCCTTCAGGACTTCTGTTCTTGTCGAAGGGTTGATGTTCACTGGTAGTTCTGCTTTCGCTGTTGGTATTATTGGGCGCGTTGTAGGTGGCAGTTGATTTAGTAGTCTTTCTAAGTGTTCACCCCAGTGTTTCCTTTGCTCTACGTCTTTGGTGACTGACTTTCCACTGTCACCCTTCACTGGCTTAATTTGTGTCGAACTTTTTCCCGATAGGTACCTAGTTGTTTGGTAGTGTTGCGAGGTCTCCATTTCCTGCAGCTTGTTCTGCTTCACTTACTATAGCTTCGCATTATTATCCTTTGTCTTCCCTGGCACTTTTCTTTATTATTTTGTTCAGTGTCTTGTAGTTTGCATTCAAATCCCGTTTTTGTTGCTCGGTGATGCACTGGAGAATCTTTTGTTTCACCATCCCTCTCTCTTTCATTAGTCTTCAAGTGTCTGTAGTGAGCCACTGTTTGTCCTATCTCTTCTTTCTGCCTAGAACTTCCATGCAGGTTTGACTCCACACTGTTTTCAAATTGTTCCAGTGCTTTTCGACGCTGACCTCTTCGCTAGTGTTGATTTGTGTCTGGGCTTTTTCCTTATGTTTGCAGTGAAGATATCCTTTGTATCCTGGTCCTTCAGTTTTTGAGTACTGAACTTGGCCTGTGGTCTATCTACAGCTCCCATTTAAGGCATCTGTTGGCAGTAGTAGTTGTCAGTGGTGGCCTGCTTGAAAATTGGGCTACCGAAAGAAACCTCCATTTAATTTCTCCTATTCAGTTTGTGTAAATCTGGCGTACTATAACCTCTAGCCGTGTCGTTTACTCTGACGAGTATTTAAGGCATTTACAAGCAGCACGTTGGCAAAATCTCTACTAAACATGAGAAGAAACATTATCCTCGATGACAGTTTTTATCGCAATACATGAGATGATTGTTCCTGAGTGGTGTTCTTGGTTGATGAAATGTACTCCTTAACTTTCTGTGATTGACATTCATCAACAAAGTGTCGTTGTGTCAATTTCTAGAAGGAGGTAAAGAAGAGATATCACACAATGATGGAGTGGTTTTCGCTTCAGGTCAGATAGAACTGTGTGTCACACGATCGATCTACTGTCAATCAAATGTTTTATTTTGAAGATCCTGGACGGCGGACAGTAAATATCATGCAATAAACTCCTCTGAAAATTCTGTTCTATAAATCAACACTGTTCCGACCTGTCTGTATCGTTTCCCATTAAGTCTCAGTCAGACCGTTTCAAATTAAATAGCTTCCTGTCGGACATCAGTCAGTGGTCTAAGTTAAATGGTCCCATGCTGAATCCCTTAAAATGCCAGACTATTGACTTCTCCCTTAGGCATAAACGAGATCTACAAACACTAGTAAGTTCTCATGAAGCCTGTTGCATTGAGGGGACTAAAATTGAAACTAAGTTTACTGCAAAATACCTCGGTCTAGTTCTATCTTCCGACCTTACTTGGACATCTCATATCGTAATGATTTCTAAGAAAGTGTTCTGTCTAATCAACTACATTAAGAAACTAAGAAAATCTGGAATCACCCAACCTCTACTTTCACAATTTGTCAACTCTTGTATCTTACCTATTCTACTTTACTGCTCCCCGTTAGTCTTTCCTGGTCTACTGAAAAAGGACTATGCCATCCTGAGAAGGATGTTGAAGGTAGTCAGTAGGACTGGTGGTGTAAAACTCAGTCAGCTCGTCACTACATTAGTTGAAAGGCATCTAAATACATGCGAAAAATGGCCTAAAACCATACTCTCCGATCCCCAACACCCCCTCTATTCCCAACTCTCGCCTTGTATCTCATCAAGTAGAACCAGAAATCAGTATAAAATAATCTATGCTCGTACAACCAAGTACAGGAACTCAACGATACCATACTTGGCCCATGTTCTAAGTGACAGAGGCAATGTTCAGCGTGAAACCTATGACTTGCTTTGTTGTTAACAACATAATTTTAGGCTCTTTTATTTCTCTCTTATTTTGTATTCTGTAGTGAACTCCTTCTTAAACATACTTAGCTACCTAAATTATTAACACTGGCTTACTTTTTGTACTTCACTGTATTCCTTCTTTTGTTCTGACTTAGCACTATGAGTACTACAAAATTTTCCTGTCATTAGCCATCATGTAATTATTAGTTTTTGTGGTTGGTTTTTCATATTTTTTATTTATTTATTAATTTTTTTTCGGCAATATTAACTGACAATCATTGGTTTTGAACGCAATAGTCACCACCTTAAAAAAATTTTGTATTATGCAGGATTATTCACACTACCACTACAAACAATGCATTAGACCTGACAATAAAAATAAACAACCCCGAAATGTTATTTTATGATTGTTTAGTGTTGTTTCAACCAAATTAACTGATCATCTTGGAGATAAACATTCTTAATTATCATTTCATAACTTCTTGTATGACCACAGCTTTACTGCCATTATGCATAATCATGTCACTGCTTCCACTACTAGTTATTATTATATGATGTTTATTTTTCCTTTCTACTTCTTGGTACTTTTTCGCATTTTTTAAAATTATTTTGTATTTTTCCTGTTTTTTTCCTGTTGGTGTCTTTATATTTATTTATTTATTTTTTGAAACACTCCTTTTAAATGTTTGATAAAATTAGATGCAAATATTGTAGATATGTGCTGAAAATTCCATACTGTACCACTAGTACTGTTTCTGGAATAAAGCAAATTATTATTATTATTGTTATTATTATAAGTTATTAATATTATGACTATTACTATTATGAAGTCAGTAGATCGACTATGATTTTATTATCATTTCTTTTTCTAATAGGTCTATTGAACAATGAATCATATACGAAATCATTTGAAATGTTAAAATGCACTATTCACATGGTACTTATGAAACATGTAATCAATAAAATCAGTTGTCAAGATAATAAACAGCAGCACCAACAACAGCATCATCCACAAGGCGTGATAACTACAAATCACTGGAAACTATTTTATCGTATATCTCGAAGAATTTTCAATTTCTATCAGATTTCAAATGAATTATGCAGAATTCATGGATTTCGAAAAGTTGATTCAAAAAGTTAATTGAGCACTTAACAGATAAATAAAGGGAAGGCGGTCTATTCAAATGTCATCTCTACATAAATGAATGTGCGAAAGAACAGAGACAAATAATTTTTTCTTGTTAAATATTTTCTTTTCTTTCTCAAGTTTCTAAATATATAAATAAATACACAAATATTTATTTATTTATTTAATTTAAAAAAAAGATATAAATGTCTTCCGTTTACCTAAAACGAACATTTCTTTTGAATAATAATTTTGATGATAATAATAATATTTACAGCAAAGTTAGACTTTAGATTCCCATGGGACGGGGACTTACCAATCATCTTGGAAAGAACCATAGTGCTTACAAACAAATCTGGTCCCTATAACCCTCATCTCTCTCTAACCAAACTTAATGTCTCCCTAATTAGGTTAAGCCTAATCATAACCTGTTCTCAGCCTAAGACTAGGCTTCATCTTTCCTTCATATAACCTAAAACTAAACCAGACATCCTCTTTAACGTCGTTACACTTTATTCAACAACTTTGTTTTCATGATTGCAATTTTATTTAAACAGTTTCATTGCCTTACTTTGACCAGGTTTCCAAGATCATCGATGTGTTAGCGCCTGTTAAGTGTCTAAATTTCAACTTTGTTAGATTTTCTTTGTAACCGTTAATATCGATATATTTATATGTAAAAGCAGATTTAAAAAAAATTAAAACAATCCAAGAAAACAGGCATATTTCAGTAGTGTTTGTTGTTTTGTATGATTTTTTTAATGTAGATTTGAAATTTCTTAGCCCTGCTACTTCAGGAAGGGATTCCTAGATATTCGATCGTCAATTAAGGCTGATTATTGTATTCATGTAACGATAGAAGACAAAAATCACGCAACAGATCGTTTATTGAGGAAATCAAGAGATATTTATATCGATTTTTATGTACATTATTATTCGTTATTATTAGCAGAGCAACACCGTCTTTTGATTAGTTGTTTTCCTGCTGAAAGTTATTCTGTCATCTCTTTGTGGCCATTTCTTTGAAGGTCAGACCATATATATCTGTCAACCATATCCGCCCACGCAAAGTCTGCTGTGATTGGTTGTTGAGTCAGTCCTTGTTTATTTTTTGTCATGACCAAGATTTTGGACGCAAAACATTGACGTAAATTGCTGTCTACCAACTTTGGCTAGCAGATAGCTCTCACCACATTCATCATCAGTTATAACGAGATCAACGTGAAAAATTACTCAACACCTATGCGAAATTAGAAAATCAATAGCTAGATTTCATGAGTCACGGAATTCCATTGGTCAACTTGGTTGACAACAACTTGGTTGGTGCGGGCAGTATATAACCACTTATCTCAATCTGTTAGTAATACATACTATCGCGTATTTATGCTCACTTTCTAAATTACAATTTCTGTTATCAAGCAGATCGCACATTGTGATGAGAATAATTTTGGTCTCCAGAGGAAACGGCCATGGTGAAATTTCATCTCATCGGACCGTGTAAATAGCAAATTGAGAACTTGACTTATAGTATTTCTGGTTCACCCAAATACCGGACTCTCCGCTGATGAGTTAAGCCGCAAACGAGAGGATTTCCGTTCAATGTTTATATAACTTCTGTCAGGCTAGTAAATACTACTGGCTCATCTCAGTAGCATACGACTACTCACCTCACTTCATCAGCAATATACGGTGTTATTGGATTCCAACACACTGGGCGAATGGTCAACAAGCCAATGGCATAAGCCGAATATCACGAGTTCTAACCCTGATGTGGTTATGGGTACACATTGCTCAAGACTTCAAAACCAGAGCGGAATAAGTATCCAGCTTTCTTCGGTTTTCAGTAATTCATAAACAAGAAGGCTCTTTATGTACGGCTGTAATTCAAAAGGCGATACGCTAAGTGAAATAATTACGAAGAAATTAAGAAAATCAGTTCAAAGAACTTTTAATGCTGGCGAACTACACGTATTATTCTCTACACGACCGATGGTGCTACCTCGACTGAAAGATGAAGTAACTAGACTAGCCACTTCCGATTGTATCTACCAGTTCAAATACTCTTGTGGTGGAGCGAGTTATATCGGCCGTTGCTCTAGGAACTTGAATTTTTGTGCTCGCTCGAGAACATCTCCTAGTATGCCTAAATAAAGGTGTAGTAAAAAGCATCAACAATTCGATATTAGACCACCTTATCGAAACCGGTCACAAACCCAGCTAGCATTGAACAATCCTTCTCTATCATCTACCGGGTACCAAATAAATTGCCAAAATCATCGAAGCATAGCATGCTCCAAACAGCAGAGGCTATTGCAATTCGCCTTAAACAACCAGTGCTCTGTGTACAAAAGAAGCAAGTCCAGCCACTACTACTGCCCTGGCCCGCCTTCAGTAGAGACTAGAAATTCTTGAATATATAATATTATCTTTCCGAATTTTTCTGATATTTAGTTTACTTTTATGTTGATGCTACTGAACAGTAATCTATTGACATTATTGATTCGCAGTTACTTAAACAACATTAATGTTTTGAATAACACCAATTCATTCATTCACTATAATGTATATGTAACTGTAGAGCCTGATGATGAATTGATTATCGAAAAGAGTATTCTTTGTTCAATATCCATTCTTTCAGTAATTCCCTAAATGATTTTGATTTGTGACGAAATTGAGATTGAAATTAATAAAAGTGTGGTGGTGTGATACAGACAATGTGTGGTGATGGAATATTACGCTTTGCCAACTACTTCGCTACTACGGTGTGCCACCGGCTATTATGCATCTCACCCAACAGCTGTACGACAATGCTGCATGCCAAGTAATCCACAACGGGAAACTTACGGAATCCTTCGAAGTGAGGACAGGAGTAAGACAAGGCTGCCTACTATCGCCAATGATTTTCCTGATTGCAGTAGACTGGATAATGCGACAAACAGTGGGCAATGAGGAAACAGGCATAAAATGGACCCACACAAAAACTTGGAGGATTCAGACTTCGCCGACGATATATGTCTGATTTCCCACAAACTGGAAGATATGCAAGCGAAAAGCAACAAGTTGGCAGAAGAATCATCCACAGAAGATAGGACTTCAGGTGAACATAGAGAAAACAGAGGTGATGAAGATTCCTGGGCAACACCACCAACAGCAACATAACAACAGACAACAATCAGCATAAATGGAAGGAACCTGAAAGAAACAACCTCTTTACCTACCTGGGAAGCATCGTTCCAACTACAGGCGAACGGAACTGACGAGGATATCAAAGCAAGAATCGGAAAAGCAAGACAAGCTTTCACTACTCTCAAGTCTGTGTTCAGGTCAATAGCACTCAGCATGAAAAATAAGATCCGGATTTTCAACTCCAATGTGAAGTCAGTCAGTGCTACTATACGGATCAGAGACTTGCACTGCGCGTCATAAAGAGTATCTCCAACAAACTACAGATCTTCATTAACAGTTGTCTTCGCTCAATACTCAAGATCAGATGGCTGGCCAGAAAAGATCAGCAACAGAGATCTCTGGGAGTGAACCAACCCAGCAGGAACCGATTGTGAAACAAATAGGCAGGAAGAAATGGAGATGGATTGGCTGGCCATACTCTGAGGAAACCATCAAGTGACATCACAAGACAAGCCATTGCTCGAGTGGAACCTGGCAGAAAGGGAAGCGGCTAGTTGGTCGTGAGTGCAAGCGTGACTTGGAGGAGGTCATGTGAAGAGGAGATGAAAACGTGTGGGCAGACTTGGAGCCAGGTGAAGACTCTAGCAGAGAACCGAACGCAATGGAGACGTGTGGCTGAAGCCCTATGTTCCTCTTGGAATTAAAGGAAACAATAATAATAATAATATTCTCACAGTTCATTTCAGCATTAGTAACAGAATACTATGTTAATTTGATCATTCTATTTCATGTCGTTTTAATGTGAACAGAAATCACAGGCTCAGTAATTGGCTAGAGAATATAAACTGTATTATATATATAAACAGCGGTTTGATTAATGAAAAATATACTTTGGCTTTCGTGTCTTGCCTTCTATTGTTACAAAAGTACATAAAAAACCCAAGATATTAGTGATCATTGCTGCGTTAGGGGGGAAGGGCATGGATGTTTCTGATTGGCCAGTACATCAGACACTTATGGCGTCTACATTATCCCCTTCTAAACCTTCTACATTATGTTTATGTTCCACTTTCTGAAGATAGGATAGATTTTTATAACTTCAAAATGTAATGTCGTTCAGGGAAGTTCAGTTACAGACAAAATATATGCTGGCTATTGATATAATGATGTTCAGGCAGAATTATTGTGACTGGACCTATATATAGGACTACTGGATAAATGTCATGAAGTCGTAGATGACGGTGTCCACTATGTCTGGGTAAGGCAGATGCTCATCGATGGCACTATGTCGCAAACTGATATCAGTTAGATTTCACAGGTTGATGAGATTCCAACCTATTGGTTAAACAGTCAACGGGTTGTCCTCGTAACCCAAAGATCATGGACTCTGACCCTAGTGGCTGGCATCTTACTTACATGTACACTACTCAAGACTTCAAAACCAGCATGGGACAGTTGTTTAGCCCTTTTCAGGTTTCAATGACCCCTTAAATAATATCGATTCGTAAAGAAATCGACATTGGAAGTAATCGGAATACTCAAAAAGAAAAAACCCAAAATATAAGTGATCAGTCGTGAGTGCAATTTTTGATTGACTAATATATCCAGCAATTATGCTGTGGTGAGTGCTACTTGTAATCAAATATAAGTACAAGTAGTATATCAGTAAACGAATTCAGAAAAGTCACAACACGTTCGGAAAAAGCGGTCAAGGAAGAGAACTGTGAGAGGAACGTTAAAAGCACTGTACAGAACCATCCAACAAGCTATCAAATGTGGTGATGATATTCGACCAATTTGCAAATGATGTGCAATTAAAGCATTGGAGATATGGTATACCAAATTTATGTCCTGATGACTGACGAGTGCCAACTAGTACGAAACTTAAATCCAAGGCTTTTGCTGACTACCTCTGACCACCGAATAACAATATATTCATCTCTTTATGTGTTAAGCCGCTAAATTTTATGATATCAGTTGACCTACTGACAAAATATGAGTAGTTGAAGTGATTAAGAACTATTTTTTAGTATGTTTAACTTTAGACCTGAGAATTTAAATAAGCGGATCTCCTACCCACTGGACTCTGTTTACACTGCAGTGAATTTGTGCATGTTTATGTCAATAGTAATGAAATAACAATATTGGGGTTTATTAAACTGAAATATGTCTAGAAAGGCTAATCATAAGCTGTTGTCTTGCAACGGAAGTGAAAAAGTGAGATTTTGGTCCTATTTGGGTCTCATTATCTGGAACCTACTTGCATCCTAGGAATTGATGAACTCGAAGCCAGTGCCCATCGTCTTTTGATCGCGGATCCACTTCAAACACAACTTATCAACTGAGTATTCACTCGAAGTCTTTTGAATTTCTCACTGGTCATATTTTACCGAACCGGCAAGTATTTGGCCTTACACCTGATTGGTGGATTTCATTAGTCAAGACCTCTCAAGGGGACTACAGGCAACTTCATCGTGTAGCTAGACAGTCACTAGCAAGCATCATATTAATTCTCAGGAGTTAGTTTGTAGGGATTTAATTCGCCTCAAGTTAGACCACGGGTCGACGTTAGTTAGAGAACCATTGAAAAGTAGTTGGGAGTACTGGATAGCTAACTGTTTCGTCTTAGCCTGGGACTCCTCATCAGCAGGAATTCATAGGGTTTGAAACCCAGGACCTCTCGGTGGTCATAGTAAAATTATGAATTGGTACAAGTTGAAATTGATGTGCCATCTGGCTGGGTCTCAGTGGCTGAATGGTCTGCGAGATTTATTTGTAGCTGAGAAGTCCTTGGTTCGAACCCTGGCGACGAGTGCGTGCTGCTGATGAGTCCAACACTACATTCTGGCTTTCGATGGTTCTCTAATTTATGTCAGCTCGCGACTACGTCTGCAAACAATCAAATGTTAGCTCTCAGTAAGGATGATTAGACGATGACTTGCTAAAATGAGGCTGATCAATTCTCCCCCGGAATATAAAGGAGATATCACAAGTAACCATTATGAATAAATGACCAGCCAACAGCATCAATTCGGTCGTGCGGGAGTTGAATCGTGGGCCTCAACGACTCGGTGATAATGATTTTCTGGCTACAGCGCCTGACGAAAATAGGATTCAAATCTCCAAAGAGACATCCCTTCCTTCGAGGTTACAGATACGTCTTGCTGACAAGCGACAAAAACAAGCACGAAATCTAAGTCAAGCAGAGCTTCCCAACGAGAAAAAAGCAACATCCAACATAGAAATAGATTCAAATATAGGGATTCTAGTTCCTCTCCAATATGATTACATTTCCTTAATATGAGAGTGACATTCGTGAATCCATTCCGAAATAAAGCAAAGAAGAAGCAGTTGTGACAACTATTCTGCCCTGGATTTTGTAGGGATCCTAGTTCATTCCACTGTAGATTTCACATCAAGAACTAGGTTCACTTAGGAAACCTACGATCATGAGGATGATTGTTTCGTCCGAAAATGGTAGTCCTCAGTAGCCTGCATCAATGTTGCAGCTGATACCTTCAGGTTATAAGGTGAGTGCATGCCATATTCAGCCACCTAGATAGGACTCAATAGTCGATAAATTCTAATTCTGTCTTTTCGTGACAAGCTGCACTACAGCCAACCAAACAAATGTTACAAACTGTTCTCTTTAACCTATCTATATGGATTTATAAGCTTTTGTCACTGTATAATTATTAATTTCTTTAAAAGTATTGATTTTCTCTCACATTTCTATTGATCTGTGTCTCATTTTCAAGTTTTTTTGTTTTGTTTTTGATTTCTTTCCGGCTATCATTCTCAAAAAAAGATTCTAATCAATTGGACGAATAGTCAAGATAATGAAATTGTCAAAGAGATTGAATCAATCCTCTTCAATGTTAACCATTATAATAATTTTAAATATTATAAATATAATGAATCCTTTGCATATTATACAAGAAATCAATTAATCGATAATCAATCAATAAGTCAAGTGGTGAATACACATTCTAGTGATGGACAGAATCATATTATCCATATGAATGATGGACACAGTCAATTCAATAACAGTAATAATAATAATAATAATAATAATAATAATAATAATAATTCAATAACTTATCGATTATTTACATTAGTAAATAATTTGAAAGTGAGTAACTTTGATACCTTTGAATTGGCATGTATGAAGACTTTAATTCTGCTAGATTCTGGTAAGACAATATGATTTATGCGATAATCAATACATTTTAAAGAAATACTTATAAACTTATTGATTTTGAGATAGACTCAATCAATGATGATGGTCACCTTGTTGATAATAAGGATAAAACTTGGGCACTCTTGTGGTAGGGTATAATTCCACTATGGATAAAATTTATTTTGATAAAACCACACGGAGTGAGTAATGCCTTGATATGGTGACGATGAGCAGTAATAAGTTGTGCTTGAAACGTGGTCATCATCAGTAAATAGTACTTACTGCATAACAATGTGTGATTTTATCAAAATAAAATTTTATTCATAATGGAAGGTCACCTTGCATTATTATTATTATTGTATTATTTTTTTGTTTGATTACAGCTTGATTCCACACCGTATTTTTGGTACAAGTATGGAGTTTTGAGCATGTGATATCGGTAGCCCAAATTTTGCAGGCCGACCACAGATATCAGGTGTGCGTCTGCAGGGGATCGAACCCCGGTCCATTTGCATGGTCGGCGAGAGTCATAACTACTATGTCACTCTGCTTTAATTCCTAGAGGTACATAGGGCTTCAGCTGCACGTTTCCATTGTGTCAATGAAGTTGAAATAGATAGCTGGCTGCCGTTCCAAACTCTGTTCAATGATGATCCGTAGTGTTGCGATTTGATCGATGCATGACTTGTTTCTCCTGAATCCAGCCTGTTCCGGTCGAAGTTTTTCATCCAGGGTAGCTTGTTTGATTCTCTCCAGGATGATGCGGCTTAGTATTTTGCTTGGGATGGACAGGAGCATAATTCCGCACCAGTTCTTGCATTGACTTAAGTTTTCTTTCTTTGGTAGTTTGAATAGGTATCCTTTCTTCCAATCCTCGGGTACTTTGCAATCTTTCCACACCTTCTCCAGTAGTGGCGTCATCAAGTCCGTTGATGTCTCTCGGTTCATTTTCAGTGCTTCTGCTGGGATTCCATCTGGTCCTGCTGCCCTCCCAGGTCTTAACAACTTGATTGCCTCCAGGACTTCTGTTCTCGTCGAAGGGTTGATGTTCACTGGTAGTTCTGCTTCCGCTGTTGGTATTATTGGGCGCGTTGTAGGTGGCAGTTGATTTAGTAGTCTTTTTAAGTGTTCAGCCAGGTGTTTCCTTTGCTCTACCTCTTTAGTGACTGACTTTCCATTGTCATCCTTCACTGGTTTAATTTGTGTCGAACTTTTCCCCGATAGGTACCTAGTTGTTTGGTAGTGCTGCAAGGTCTCCATTTCCTGCAGCTTGTTCTGCTTCACTTACTATAGCTTCGCATTATTATCCTTTGTCTTCCCTGGCACTTTTCTTTATTATTTTGTTCAGTGTCTTGTAGTTTGCATTCAAATCCTGTTTTTATTGCTTATCGGTGCACTGGAGAATCTTTTGTTTCACCATCTCTCTCTCTTCTATGAGTCTCCAAGCGGCCTTAGTGAGCCACTGTTTGTCCTGTCTCTTCTTTCTGCCTAGAACTTCCATGCAGGTTTGACTCCTAGACCGCTCTCAAGTTGTCCCAGTGCTTTTCAACGCTGACCTCTTCGCCAGTGTTGATTTGTGTCTCGGCTTTGTCCTTTATGCTTGCAGTGAAGATGTCCTTTGTTTCCTGGTCCTTCAGTTTTTGAGTATTGAACTTGGCCTGTGGTCTATCTACAGCTCCCATTTAAGGCATCTGTTGACAGTAGTAGTTGACAGTGGTGGCCTGCTTAAAAATTTGGGGTTACCGAAAAAAACCTCCATTTAATTTCTCCTATTCAGTTTGTTTAAATCTGGCGTACTATAACCTCTAGTAGTGTCGTTTACTCTACAACCAGCACGTTGGCAAAATCTCTACTAAACATGAGAAGAAACATTATCCTCGATGACAGTTTTTATCGCAATACATGATATGATTGTTCCTTAGTGGTGTCCTTGGTTGATGAAATGTACCCCCGAACTTTCTATAACTGACATTCAGCAACAAAATGTCGTTGTGTATTTCTCGAAGGAGGTAAAGAAGAGATATCACATAATGATGGAGTGGTTTTCGCTTCAGGTCAGATAGAACTGTGTGTCACACGATCGATCTACTGTTAATCAAATGATTTATTTTGAAGATCCTGGACGGCGGACAGTAAATATCATGCAATAAACTCCTCTGAAAATTCTGTTCTATAAATCAACACTGTTCCGACCTGTCTGTATCGTTTCCCATTAAGTCTCAGTCAGACCGTTTCAAATTAAATAGCTTCCTGTCGGACATCAGTCAGTGGTCTAAGTTAAATGGTCCCATGCTGAATCCCTTAAAATGCCAGACTATTGACTTCTCCCTTAGGCATAAACGAGATCTACAAACACTAGTAAGTTCTCATGAAGCCTGTTGCATTGAGGGGACTAAAATTGAAACTAAGTTTACTGCAAAATACCTCGGTCTAGTTCTATCTTCCGAACTTACTTGGACATCTCATATCGTAACGATTTCTAAGAAAGTGTTCTGTCTAACCTACTACATTAAGAAACTAAGAGAATCTAGAATCACCCAACCTCTACTTTCACAATTTGTCAACTCTTGTATCTTACCTATTCTACTTTACTACTCCCCGTTAGTCTTTCCTGGGCTACTTAAAAAGGACTATACCATCCTGAGAAGGATGTTGAAGGTAGTTAGTAGGACTAGTGGTGTAAAACTCAGTCAGCTCGTCAGTACATTAATTGATAGGCATCTGAGTACATGCGAAAAATGGTCTGAAACCATACTCTCCGACCCCCAACACCTCCTCTATTCCTAACTCTCGCCTTGTATCTCATCAAGTAGAACCAGAAATCAGTATAAAATAATCTATGCTCGTACAACCAAGTACAGGAACTCAACAATACCATACTTGGCCCGTGTTCTAAGCGACAGATACAATGTTAAACGTGAAACCTATGACTTGCTCTGTTGTTAATAACATAATTTTAGGCTCTTTTATTTCTCTCTTATTTTGTATTCTATTGTGAACTCCTTCTTAAACATACTTAGCTACCTAAATTATTAAAATTGACTTACTCTTTTGTACTTTACTGTATTCCTTCTTTTGTTCTTACTTAGCACTATGAGTAGTACAAAATTTTCCTGTCATTAGCCATCATGTAATTATTAGTTTTTGTGGTTGTTTTTTCATATTTTTTTATTAATTTTTTTTCGGAAATATTAACTGACAATCATTGGTTGTGAACGCCATTGTCACCCTTAAAATTTTGTATTACGCAGGATTACTCACACTACCACCACAAACACCGCATTAGACCTGACAATAAAATACCCTGAAATGTTATTTTATGATTGCTTAGAGTTGTTTCAATCAAATTAACTGATCATGTTGGCGATAAACATTCTTAAATATCATTTCATAACTTCTTGTAAGACTATAGCTTTACTGTCACCATGCATAATCATATCATAGCTTCCACTACCCAATACTGAGTTATTATTATATGCTGTTTATTTCTCCTTTCTACTTCTTGGTATTTTTTCACATTTTATTTTTATTTTTTTTTTGTTGTTGTTGTCTGTATATTTATTTATTTCTTGAAATACTCCTTTTAAATGTTTGATAAAATTAGATGCAAATATTGTAGATATGTGCTGAAAATTCCACACTATACCACTAGTACTGTTTCTGGAATGAAGCAAATTATTATTATTATTATTATTAATATAAGTTATTAATATTATGACTGTTACTATTATAAAGTTAGTAGATCGACTATGATTTTATTATCATTTCTTTTTCTAATAGGTCTATTGAACAATGAATCATATACGAAATCATTTGAAATGTTAAAATGCACTATTCACATGGTACTTATGAAACATGTAATCAATAAAATCAGTTGTCAAGATAATAAACAACAACAACATCATCCGCAAGGCGTGATAACTACAAATCACTGGAAACTTTTTTATCGTATATCTCGAAGAATTTTCAACTTTTATCAGATTTCAAATGAATTATGCAGAATTCATGGATTTCGAAAAGTTGATTCAAAAAGTTAATTGAGCACTTAACAGATAAATAAACAAAGGAAAGGCGGTCTATTCAAATGTCATCTCTACATAAATGACTGTGTGAAAGAACAGAGACCAATGATTTTTTCTCGTTAAATATTTTCTTTTCTTTTTCAAGTTTCTAAATATATAAATAAATACACAAATATTTATTTATTTATTTAATTTAAAAAAAAGATATAAATGTCTTCCGTTTACCTAAAACGAACATTTCTTTTGAATAATAATTTTGATGATAATAATAATATTTACAGCAAAGTTAGACTTTAGATTCCCATGGGACGGGGACGTACCAATCATTTTGGAAAGAACCATAGTGCTTACAGACAAATCTGGTCCCCATAACCCTCATCTCTCTCTAACCAAACTTAATGTCTCCCTAATTAGGTTAAGCCTAATCATAACCTGTTCTCAGCCTAAGACTAGGCTTCATCTTTCCTTCATATAACCTAAAACTAAACCAGACATCCTCTTTAACGTCGTTACACTTTATTCAACAACTTTGTTTTCATGATTGCAATTTTATTTAAACAGTTTCATTGCCTTACTTTGACCAGGTTTCCAAGATCATCGATGTGTTAGCGCCTGTTAAGTGTCTAAATTTCAACTTTGTTAGATTTTCTTTGTAACCGTTAATATCGATATATTTATATGTAAAAGCAGATTTTTAAAAAATTAAAACAATCCAAGAAAACAGGCATATTTCAGTAGTGTTTGTTGTTTTGTATGATTTCTTTTATGTAGATTTGAAATTTCTTAGCCCTGCTACTTCAGGAAGGGATTCCTAGATATTCGATCGTCGATTAAGGCTGATTATTGTATTCATGTAACGACAGAAGACAAAGGTCAGGCAATAGATCGTTTATTGAGGAAATCAAGAGATATTGACATCTATTTTTATGTACATTATTATTCGTTATTGTTAGCGGAGAAACACCGTCCTCTGATTGGTTGTTTTCTCACTGAAAGTTATTCTGTCATCTCTTTGTGGCCATTTCTCTGAAGGTCAGACCATATATCTGAGAATTGTATCCGCCCACTCAAAGTCTGCTGTGATTGGTTGATGAGTTAGTCTTTGTTCTTGTTTATTTTTCTCATGACCAAGATTTTGGACGCAAAACATTGACGTAAATTGCTGTCTACCAATTTTGGCTAGCTGACAGCTCTCACCACATTCATCAGTATAACATCTTTGCAAAACCAGCAAATCAGTAACTAGATTTCATGAGTCACGGAATTTCATAGGTCAACCTGGTTGATAACGACTGATGGTTGGTGCGGGCAGTATGTAACCACTTATCTCAGTCAGTTAGTAATATATATGCTCACTTTCTAAATTACAATTTCTGTTATCAAGCAGATCGCACATTGTGATGAGAATAATTTTGGTCTCCAGAGGAAACGGCCATGGTGAAATTTCATCTCATCGGACCGTGTAAATAGCAAATTGAGAACTTAACTTATAGTATTTCTGGTTCACCCAAATACCGGACTCTCCGCTGATGAGTTAAGCCGCAAACGAGAGGATTTCCGTTCAATGTTTATATAACTTCTGTCAGGCTAGTAAATACTACTGGCTCATCTCAGTAGCATACGACTACTCACCTCACTTCATCAGCAATATACGGTGTTATTGGATTCCAACACACTGGGCGAATGGTCAAAAAGCCACTCGCATAAGCTGAATATCACGAGTTCTAACCCTGATGTGGTTATGGGTACACATTGCTCAAGACTTCAAAACCAGAGCGGAATAAGTATCCAGATTTCTCCGGTTTTCAGTAATTCATAAACAAGAAGGCTCTTTATGTACGGCTGTAATTCAAAAGGCGATACGCTAAGTGAAATAATTACGAAGAAATTAAGAAAATCAGTTCAAAGAACTTTTAATGCTGGCGAACTACACGTATTATTCTCTACACGACCGATGGTGCTACCTCGACTGAAAGATGAAGTAACTAGACTAGCCACTTCCGATTGTATCTACCAGTTCAAATACTCTTGTGGTGGAGCGAGTTATATCGGCCGGTGCTCCAGGAACTTGATTTTTCGTGCTCGCTCGAGAAAATCTCGTAGTATGGCTAAATAATGGTATAGTAAAAAGCATCAACAATTCGATATTAGACCACCTTATCCAAACCGGCCACAAAGCCAGCATTGAACAGTCCTTCTCTATCATCTACCGGGTACCAAATAAATTGCCAAAATCATCGAAGCATCGCATGCTTCAAACAGCAGAGGCTATTGGAGTTCGCGTAAAGCAACCAGTACTCTGTGTACAAAAGAAGCAAGTCCAGCCAGTACTACCGCCCTGGCTGGCCTTCAGTAGAGACTAGAAATTCACGAATATGTAATATTATCTTACCTAATTTTTCTGATATTCAGTTTATTTTTATGTTGGTGCTATTGAACTGTAATCTATCGATATTATTGATTCGATGTTAGTTAAACAGCATTAATGTTGTTAATAAATTTATGGTTGGCGACAAAAGCGAAAGAGATGGAAAAGGCATAGGTAATATCAGGCAACTATTTAGATTTATCAGGGAAACGGGTGCCAAAAGGAAACCAAAATTAACCCTTAGGATAGACGATTGGGACGCTGGAAAAAACACTTTGAGGAGCGATTCAATTGGCCTACAGCCAGGTTCAACTTGCCGAGCATCCAACACCTCCCTGAATGAGATATAAACACAGGTTCTCCGTCCCTAATTGAGGTTACAAAAGCTGTTTCTAAATTGAAACGAGGCAAAGCTGCCGGACCTGATGGAATGATTCCAGAGGTGTTTAAGGACGGTGAAGACAGTTTACTGTCTGCGTTAACTAAGCTATTAGGGAGAGTTTGGGAATCAGAGGAAGTCCCATCAGGCTGGTGTAAGTCATTGATTATTCTGATATACAGGAAGGGAGACAAGTCTTCCTGTGATAATCACAGGTACATTAGCTTGACCAATATAGAGTCTTAAGTTCTAGGCTCAATAATCATGCGTAGACTAAATGGTGGTCGGGAGAAATAAAACACGAGAGAACTAGGCAGACTTTAGACCAGGAGAGGGTGTATTGGTCATATTTCTTCACCCTTCGACAGGTTCTGGAACATAGGCATACATACCGGTGTCCAACAATTGTCATATTTCTTGACATAAAAGCGACATTCGATTCTGTCGATTGAGAGGTACTATGCCGATGTTTAATAATAATAATTTGCTTTATTCCAAAACAGTACTTGTGATACAGAATGGAATTCTCAGAATTTTATTACAGTATTGCATCCAGTTAGTGCATTATTAATAAATAAAATTTCACATAGATTAAGGTAATCTCAGTTCAGTATGACAACAACATATTGGCAAGTCGGTAGCAAAGCCAAAACTGAACAGTGTTTGAAGGTGTTATAAAAGTAGATGCTAGCATATTTACTGGCTGTGAAGGGAATGCCGAGGAAATACATAGCACTGACGAAGGCAATCCACTTGAACTCATGCAGTCAGCCAGGTGAGAGTTATTATCTGAAGTGGTGTTCGTCGTCAGGGGTGCCCACTCACTCTGCCCATTTTCGCTTAATTTCATCATAGATGTACTAATGGCCTTAACCCTAACTCACTTCAGTGACTCAGGGATTGAGTTGTTACCACCAGGGAATAAAAATCTCGTTGACTTGGAATATGCAGATGATACAGTCCCGCCTCTTAGGTGAAAACGCTGACAGAATACGAAGTCTTCTGAACACCTTGAACGGAGCAGAAATCTTCGAATGTTTGGCATACGATTTGCTCCCTCTGTCAAATACAAGATGACGCTGCGAAACTGTACTACATCAACTCACTCCTAGATTAAATATAGGCAGGGAGTGAAGTGGTAGAGCGTGTTGACCAATTTACTTAATTTGGGGAGTTGCATCAGCCAACGCTAGCGGGTTGATCGCTGACAAAATCTCAGCACGAATACAGAAGCCTCGTTCAACATATGCCAACTTACACCATCTCTGGCTGGGTAGACGTGATATCCGGTTGGTTATCAACCAGGGAAGGTGTGTACTGCTCAGCAATTTATTCCGTCCTCCTTTATGGCTGTGAGTGAGACATGGACATTGAAAGTGGAACGAATGAAAAGCCAGACTAGCTGTCTTTGATTATAGTTGTCTGCCTTCTATCTCCCGTGTTAAGTGGATTAATAAGGTGAGAAATATTGAGATTAGGCATCGGCTGAGCGGTAGGTGGGAGGGGAAATCAATCGACGAGGTTGTGAAGTTACACCGATTAAGATGGTCAGGAAACGTGTTACGCATTCATGCCTAGTCATCGCCTTTCTCGACAACGGGTAATGTCAGTTGCTGACATAGGATCAGGTTGGAAGAGAGTTAGTGGTGGTCAAATCAAAACATGGCTTCATCAGTCAATGAAATGCACAACCACGTATGAAGGTGTAGACTACCCGACTGACTGGTTGGGGTCCTCGGGATGGTAAAAACCGATGGTTAGAGACAATTGGTGATATCACTGAAAACCGTTCTCAGTCAGTGATGGCGCAGGTGTAACCACTCCTTTTGTTTTGTCATATCCAACAAAATTCTACTGTTCTTCAATCTTACTATTGTTTTTCCATCATTCACACTTCTGTTTATTATCTCTGTTTTGAATCACTTTTTCCTGTCTTCTCTTGCTTTGTGTGCTATGTGGAGGGAGTTTGACAGCTGGAATTGGTGCACATCTGTTCCACCGAACCACTTCACTCCTTATTTCTAAGCTAGGAATGAGTCAATGAAGTCCAGTCAGTCCTGTAGCGTCATCTTACATTTGGCGGGAGAAGTATGAGTTGCTGCTCAGGAAGCAACTACTCTACCTACATTAAGAAGAAATTCTAGAATTATTCTAGCCATAGAAGTAAACACACAACGTCATAATTTGATTGATTTAGTTCATTCCATGATAAGTGCAAACTTACATTAAGTAACCGCAAACAGATTAATACATTACACTTACTTACCAACTGGAAACTATTTCC